GAGAATGTTTCTGTGATCCTATCTCATTGTGTTTGGTTATATGACAGAAGCCTCCCACTGCACTCCCACTTCCCTTGACCCCTCCCCATTCTTCACCAATACAGACCAAACCTCCTCTGCTAAAATGTAACTTCACTTCAAAATGAACACAAAGCTCAAAACTCTTCAATAATTAGAACACAAAACATTGCAGTAGCCATTTAAACGTATTTTCAAAGATTAGAAGAAATGTTTTTCCTACTGAACACTGGGATCATAATAATAACCCTTACATTTGGGAAAATTTCTTTTACATCAAGAGGATGTCTTAAAGCGCTTCACAGGATTTATTGTGAAGTGCAATGACTGTGTATTCACGAGGCAAGCAATGTTTGCACAGCAGTGGCCCACACACAGCAATGGCATGAATGACCAATTTTGTTTAGTGGGACCAGGGAGAAACTCTTCCCTTTTACGGATGCCTCGGTTCAAATTGTCATCCAAAGGACGCCACCTCTGACAACGTGACTAACTGTTATGTGAAACAGATTTCTAAGAAGAGAGGTTATTGCTGTGTCAATTAACTCGCAAGATCACGAGAGAGCTCGGGTATGAAGAGTTCATCAAACCCATCTGATCTCCTTTTAGAATAGAATTGAAGTGAGGTTTGGGACATAATTCCTTAAAAAAATAATAATACTAATAATAATTTGGTCACTCAATCCATGACTGTTTGTGGGACACTGCTGTGCGCAATTGGCTGCCTTGTTTCTCCCACAAAACACAGTCACTACACTTTACAGTATATTCTGTGAAGCTCTTTGAGACGTCTCGATGCAGTGATAAGGCTCTGTATCAAATGCAAGGATTATTATAATTATAATTATTATTATAATGTGTGGAGTCCTGTAGCTCAGTGGTTAGACCACTCACCTCACAAGTAAGAGACTTGGGTTTGATTTCCAGCAGGGCGAAACATTGGGTATGTTTCTTTATTACAAACACCTAGCAGTAAGTGGGAACCTGGTTATTAATCGATTGGCGGATCGCTTTTCCGGGGTAATAATGTGGGACACTCCTGTGCGCAATTGGCTGCAACATTTTGCCCACAAAATATAGTCAATTCACATTACAGTATATTCTGTGAAGCGCTTTGAGCTGTCTCGAAGACATGATAAGGCACTGTATCAAATGCAAGGATTATTATTATTAATTTCAACCATACCCCCTTCCCATGTAGTATCAAACTTTATTTAATTCATAAACCCCAAACTTTTATGGGCAGGAGAAAAAAAGCTGGAAGGTGGGGAGTAATAAACAAACAGGTAACGATGCCACAGAGACGATGGCCAAAATGCCTCGTTCTGGGCTGAAAATGCCTTTGTCTGTAAAGTAAGAATACTGGTGCACACAACCTGCGGGGAATGTTGACCAGCATATTGTTCCTGTTTAAAAAAGCTCAAGTTAATCAATATGCTTACTATCTCTTATTTGTCTTCATTTGCAGTTCCCTTTGCGTCCCTTAGGATGTAAACAGCCTCCCTAACTATCCTCTTTGTATTATCGAAAGAATTTTTGGTGTCATGTTTTGCATCTGCTGCTAATACTTCTCTCTGGGCCCCCCTAATCTCTTTTCTGACCTGCTTCTGTATAATCTTGTACTCGGACCAATGGTTGTCCTCTCTCCCATCTCCCTACAAGCTTCATAAATCTTCCCTTTGTTTCTTAATCTCCCTTTCAGTTTTTCCTGTTTATCCCCAATTAAATTTTTTTTTCTTTCAATGCCCTACTTGTCCTGAATGCTCCATGTTATGCTTTTGAGCGGGGTGGGGGTGGGGGGGGTATAACAACACACAGTGAAGTATCAGTAGCATAAATGACATCTCAACACCGGATAAACCCCCTTGGGATCTAGCGTGTCTCCTCCTGGGGAACCCCATGTTATGTCCCCCTGACCACATAACCTTACGTCCGACCTAGGATTGCTTCGAAGGCCATACCTCACTGGTCGGTGTCGGTATGACCCACAAAGGTTTGGTTGCCAACTGTAAACGCACTTTACTCCCTAAGGTGCTTTATATAATAATACAGTATATTAAACAGTCCTTGCATTTGATATAGCTCCTTATCACTTCTGCCCTGCGCAGGATATACTATAAGCAGTGTGTGTGACTGAATGTAATGTTGTGGCTTCACCTGACGTTCAGGAGCCGTTGAACACCACTGTTTTACTGACGAGCACATGCACAGCCCCGGTGTTGAATTCTGCAAACGATAAACCTTTGAAAATGGAGCAGTGTTGATGTAAACCTTTGTCCTGAATAGACTGGAGCGCAATCCGTGATAGGGTAAATTGCACAGAGTGTGTGTGTGTGAGATGAGGTTGGTTTTTTTTCCCAGGGGAATATGAACGATAGTCTGTTTGCTTCCCTTTCTTGCTGAGCAGCATGCCTTAAAGGAATGATGGCGTGTAGTGCGTGCTTTATGTATGCAGTGAATGATGCTGAGTGTTACCGCCCAGGGCTCTGCTGACAGCTACAGTGAGTGACTTAGTGAAGGCGTGCACTGACTCAGCCAATGGGCTCGACCACCACCTGGAGCAGCACATGTTTACACTGCCGGGCGGGCGGGCGGGAGCATTCCGCCGGTGCAGAGCGGAATCTCCGAGAAAACACGGACCATTTACACACGGAGTGAGGAGCAGACTTCCATCCGGTCAACAAAACACTGGGAGAGCAGACAGCCTGTGCCACACAAGCTCCGCTGCTGAGACTCTAACCCGAGGTCCCCTACTCTGCCTGTTCAGCTGGACGATAAATGATCCCACGGCATTCCTCGAAAAGAGAAGGGACTTTCATCCCGTTGTCCTGGCTGACAGTCCGGCCCCGATAAAAATCGGTCATTCACTTCGTAGATGTTCATGGGACATGGTTGTGCACAAATTAGCTGTTGCATCTGCCCACAAAGTACAGTCATTATACAATAAATTCCTGTGAAGCGCTATGAGATGTCTCAACAATGTGGTAAAGCGCTATATCAGATGCAAAGATTATTATTTATTATTATAGCTAAATAGGATTTACATTGTTATTAGCTCACGAACAAAACCGACCAGTTTTACACAGACTGTAATGTATTTGCATCATTGTTAGCATTGTGATAATGGCCTCGAAGCAACAGATTTTATCATCAACAAACACCAGGTGGATTTTAAGAACAGTTGAGACAAGGCAAATTTACCCGTGTTGCAAAACATTGACTCGAAAAGAAAATACATAGGGCTTGAACTTTGGGAAATAAAATATAATTAAAAAAAAAACAACCTTTAAAGGCAGTGATTCTTTTTTTACAACTTCCATATACCTTCAAAATATAACAATCCTAACATTTGAGACAGCGCCTTTCACGACAGGACGATATCTCAAAGCGATTCACGGTATATGTTGTAAAGTGTAGTGACTCTGTATTTTGTAGGTGAAATTATCACCGGTTGTCACTTTCATTCCTCTTGAGTTAGTTTTTGGTTTATTTTTTCCCCCCCAATGTGTCCGTTTATAAATAATAATAATCCTTATATTTGTTACACTTGACACAGCGCCTTTTGCGTCGGAAGGACGTCCCAAAGTACTGCGCAGGATTCACTGTGAAGTGTAATGGCTGTGTGCCCCGTGCTCTATTATATATAATATTCCTTGCGCATATATGTGACAATGTGCGCAATTGGCTACCGCGTTTCGCCCCACAGAATACACAGTCCACTCACTTTACGGGGTATTCCGCGAAGCCCCGTGAGACGTCTCGAAGATGCGATAAGAATAACAATCCTCGACAAGGCGTTTGAAGTGGCGCCTCATCGCATCCGCGAGACGCCTCAAAGCGCTTCACAGGATAGACCGCCGAGTGAACTGACTGCATTTTGCGGGCGATATCAATAATAATAATAATAATAATAATCCTGGCAATTTGATGTAGCGCTTTCCCACGTCCTCTCGACTACTCAAAGCGCTTCGCAGGATAAGCTGTGAAGTCAAGTGACGGTACATTTGCGGGCGAAAACGAACAAATGCCAGGATAGCATTATTATATTGATGATGATTTTTATTAGTGTATGGTTGCAAACGTTTTTTTTCAACCCCCCCACCCCCCCCACCACCAAAAAAAAGGGGCTGTGGGATAGGATGGGATGGGATGGTGGGGTTTAAACCAACGAGGAACGAATTGGAACTGGTCCAGGCTCGGATTGACCTGATTCCTGTGTTGGTGAGTAAACTCCAGCTCTGGTTTTGCACGTTGCAATGTCAGACTGGAGAAGGCTTCGAAAACAAACAAGTCAGTTCTGAGCCCCGGACAGAGAGCTGTGCTTTTATTGCACATTAATATATATTATCATTAACAACAACTCGCAGCGTTGCTTCATGTCTCTCTCTGGGTTTCTGTCCATCCCAACGGAACCAGTTGCTCTTTCTTTCTGTTTTAGCAATTGCACCTTTTTTTTTGGTGGTGGTGGTGGTGGTGAGGGGGGGACAGGGGGGGCATTGCATTGATTTGTATTGAGAGAGAAATATTAATAACATAAATCTGTGTGTGTGTGTGTGTGTGTCTGTGTGTGTGTGTCTGTGTCTCTGTGTGTGTGTCTCTGTGTGTGTTTGAGTGTCTGTGTGTGTGTGTGTCTGTGTGTCTCTGGTGTGTGTGTGTGTCTGTGTGTGTCTGTGTGTGAGTGTCTGTGTGTGAGTGTGTGTGTCTGTGTGTGAGTGTCTGTGTGAGTGTGTGTGTGAGTGTCTGTCTGTGTGTGTGTGTCTGTGTGTGTGTGAGTGTCTGTCTGTGTGTGAGTGTGTGTGTGTGTCTGTGTGTGTGTGTCTGTGTGTGAGTGTGTGTGTGTGTGAGTGTGTGTGTGTGAGTGTGTGAGTGTGTGAGTGTCTGTGTGTGAGTGTGTGAGTGAGTGTGTGAGTGTCTGTGTGTGAGTGTGTGTGTGTGTGTGTGTGTGAGTGTGTGAGTGTGTGAGTGTCTGTGTGTGTGTGTGTGAGTGTCTGTCTGTGTGTGTGTGTGTGTGTTGTTCGCTATGCAGTCGCGCCGCTCCGCTAAGAGGTCGCTGCTCGGCTGCCGGGTTTGCGCCCCGAGTCCCGCCGGGGATGGGCAGCTGGTCCCCGGGGTCATCCAGGCTCTGCTGCCCGACAGCAGCGTCTACACCGTGAGGCTGGAGGACGGCAGCCTGAGGGAGTATCCCGAGGAGGAGGTGGTGCTGCCGGGGCCGGGCAGCCACTGCCACTGCCTCCACAGCCACTGCCTCAGCCACAGCCTCAGCCACAGCGCCGCCGGCAAAGGGCAACTCAAATGCAGGGAGAAGGTGGGTAACCAGAGCGTCTGTCTGTATATGTGGCTGTGCGGTCTGTGTGTGTGTGAGAGGCTACACAGTGTGTGTGTGCGTGTGAGAGGCTACACTGTGTGTGTGTGTGTGGCTACACAGTGTATGTGTGTGTGTGTGGCTACACAGTGTGTGTGGCTACACAGTGTGTGTGTGTGTGGCTACACAGTGTGTGTGTGTGGCTACACAGTGTGTGTGTGTGGCTACACTGTGTGTGTGTGTGGCTACCCTGTGTATGTGTGTGGCTATCCTGTGTATGTGTGTGGCTACCCAGTGTGTGTGTGTGGCTATCCTGTGTGTGTGTGTGTGTAGCTACCCAGTGTCTGTGTGTGTGTGTGTGGCTACACAGTGTGTGTGTGTGTGTGTGTGGCTACACAGTGTGTGTGTGTGTGGCTACACAGTGTGTGTGTGTGGCTACACAGTGTGTGTGTGTGGCTACACTGTGTGTGTGTGTGGCTACCCTGTGTATGTGTTTGGCTATCCTGTGTGTGTGTGTGTGTAGCTACCCAGTGTCTGTGTGTGTGTGTGTGGCTACACAGTGTGTGTATGTGTGTGTGGCTACACAGTGTGTGTGTGTGTGGCTACACAGTGTGTGTATGTGTGTGTGGCTACACTGTGTGTGTGTGTGGCTACCCTGTGTATGTGTGTGGCTACCCTGTTTGTGTGTGTGGCTACCCAGTGTGTGTGTGTGTGGCTATCCTGTGTGTGTGTGTGGCTACCCTGTGTGTGTGTGTGTGTGTGTGGCTACACAGTGTGTGTATGTGTGTGTGGCTACACTGTGTATGTGTGTGTGGCTACCCTGTGTATGTGTGTGTGGCTACCCTGTGTATGTGTGTGGCTACCCTGTTTGTGTGTGTGGCTACCCAGTGTGTGTGTGTGGCTATCCTGTGTGTGTGTGTGTGGCTACCCTGTGTGTGTGTGTGTGTGTGGCTACACAGTGTGTGTATGTGTGTGTGGCTACACAGTGTGTGTGTGTGTGTGTGTGGCTACACTGTGTGTGTGTGTGTGGCTACACTGTGTGTGTGTGTGTGTGGCTACCCTGTGTGTGTAGGGGGCTACACTGTGTGTGTGTGTGTGGCTACCCTGTGTGTGTGGCTACCCAGTGTGTGTGTGTGTGTGTGGCTCCCCTGTGTGTGTGGCTCCCCTGTGTGTGTGGCTCCCCTGTGTGTGTGGCTACCCTGTGTGTGTGGCTACCCAGTGTCTGTGTGTGTGTGTGGCTACCCAGTGTCTGTGTGTGTGGCTACCCTGTGTGTGTGGCTACCCTGTGTGCGTGGCTACCCTGTGTGTGTGGCTACCCTGTGTGTGTGGCTACCCAGTGTCTGTGTGTGTGTGTGTGTGGCTACCCAGTGTCTGTGTGTGTGTGTGTGTGTGTGTGTGTGTGTGGCTACCCTGTGTGTGTGGCTACCCTGTGTGTGTGGCTACCCAGTGTGTGTGTGTGGCTACCCAGTGTGTTTGTATGTGTGGGGCTACCCTGTGTGTGTGTGTATATGCGTGGCTGCCCAATGTGTGTGTATGTGTGGGGCTACTCAGTGTGTGTGTATATGTGTGGCTGCCCAGTGAATGCACGTGACTGTGTGTGTGGTTGCCCGGTTTGTGTATGTGGTTGCCCAATGTGGGTGTGAGGCTGCATGGTGTGTGTGTGTGTGTGTCCCAGCTCGGGTCTGAAATGCTGTACTCTGTCCAACGCCTTGGGCCGTCCTCCCGACATGAAAGGTGCTATAATGTAATCTTGTCGTTGTTGTGTGTTGTTGCCCTGTGTGTGTGTGTGTGTGTGTGTGTGTGTGGCTGCCCGGTTTGTGTGTGTGGCTGCCCGGTGTGTGTGTATTTGTGTGTAGCTGACCTGTGTGTGTGCGCGTGCGCGCATGGCTGCCCGGTGTGTGTATATGTGTGTGTGTGTGTGTGTGTGGCTGCCAAACGTGTGTGTGCTTGTGTGTAGCTGCCAAGTGTGTGTGTGTGTGTGTGCGTGTGGATGCTTTGTGTGGGTGGTGGCTACTGCCTGATTTGTGCATGTTTTTGTTTGTGTGTGTGTGTGTGTGTGTGTGTGTAGCTACTCATTGCATGTGTGAGGCTGCCCACTGTGTGTGGTGGGCGAGAGGGTTGTGGCTGTTGCCCAGTGTGCACATTTCTGTGTGTGTGTGTGTGTGTGTGTGTGTGTGTACCGTTACATGATTGCAGCACACACTCAGTGACTCCAGTCTATTCACTCCTCACCTCTCCCGTAATTCGGATGACACGCAGCTCCTCGATGACCTCAGTGTTATTTGGAGGGCTGAACCTGAACCCCACACTGAACTCTCAGTGATTTTACAATGTTATTTGGTGGTGATTGGATTCTGTTCAACTTTAACCTCAGATCATTTGAAGCATTTGGACCCTCCAGCTGCCCTCTCGCTGTTATTTGGGCGGGTTTCACTCTAACCTCTCACTGACCTCTCAGTGTTATTTAAGAGCGAACGACATTTACTTTTCCCTTCCTCGCTTCTTCCTAAAGGCTATTTGAGATGGTTGGACCTTAACCCCTCACTGATCTTACAGTGTTACTTGGCTGTGCTGAGCCAAGATCCTAACCACTCTCTATTGGATTTCGCTGCCCTTATTTCAAAAGGGCTTGTAAGAGAATCTGACACTGAAAGGTTATTATTGTACTTCACGCTGCACATGTTTTGTTTACCAGTGCTGTACAGTAACCCGCTATAAATCAATCAACCTCTAATTGACTCAAAGAGCAAGTAACTTTGATGTGTGGGTGGGTCTGGTACAATACAATACAAAATTACATTTGTTTACAGCCTTTCACGTCGGGAGGACGTCCCATGGCGTTGAACAGTTAGTGATTTGGACCCAAGCTGGGGGTCGGGATCGTGGAGGGTAGGAGGCTGGCCGGAGGCTCGGTCGAAGAGGATGGTTTTGAGGCGTGCCTTGAAGAAGGAAGGAAGGGAGTGAGGGAAGGGAATGTGGGATGGAGTTCCATATGGTGGGGAAGAAAGGCTGAAGCCTCGACCGCTGATGGTGGGGCAGGCTGGGCGGGGGACGTGGAGCAGGACAGAGCCTGCTGAGCGGAGGGAGTGGACAAGTTGATATGGGTCAGCAGGTCACAGAGGTAGGGAGGGGCAAGCCCGTGGTACTGCTCCCACCCAAGCCAGAATTGGTAGAAAAGGAATGAAAAGCTCAGGGGAATTCTAATTTCAAATGGGATAATAAACCAGCATAATATGCTGTGTCTAGTATTTCTGGACTTAAAAGTGGTGCATTAGTCTCGGAACAAGCAGAAAGCATTACATCGTCTCTGCCTCTCCCCCCTACCCCTCCTCCCAGGTTTGTTGTCTATCCATTGAGTTGCGCTTTACATGATTTAGGCTGAAATAGTACCTACTGTAACAATAAGCTTGTCTAAACACTAACATAATCCAATGGGAAATATAACCAGCAATGGAAGAAATGCAAAAAGAGAACAGTGCAGTTTAAAGAGTGAGTTTTTAATCGAAACATTAGTGCAATAGTATTTCCACTGCAATACAATTGTTATTGATAAATACTGTTTCGGGAGTGTAAGAGCATGTAGCTGGAGGCAACCACAACAATTTAGCTCACACATGTGACCATGGTGTTTGCTGTGAATACAGGAGCAATGAAAGAGTTTGTGCATTGCTGATGCATGTGTATTTGTTTCTTTGATGCCTTCGTCGTTACTTTATTATTGAAAGGTTCAGTGTGTTTTGCTTATTTTTTGGGATCGGAACATTATAAATCATTCAGTATAGCTCATGTGTACCTGTGCCATATCCCAGATTGTTTTGGCTTACACTCTGCTTACATACATTGTACACGAACATCAGCGCCTTGGGACGTCCTCCCGACGTGAAAGGCGCTCAATAAATGGAATCTTGTTGTTGTTGTTGTTGTATGACTGGAATGTTTTTATGTGCGTATGTCAGCCTGGTGCACAGGTGAAAACATGGCTTAATTTGTCAAACTTTCGCTTCTCATTCAGAAGGTTGTGGGTTCAAGCCCCACGTAGGAACTTTGAACCCACGGCTAACACTCCAAGTACAGTGCTAGGGAGTGGGGTGGGGTTGGGGCTGGAGGGTAGAGCTACATTATCAGAGGTACAATCTTTCGGATTAGACGTTAAACTGAGGTCCTGTCTGCCACTTCAGATGGATGTTAAAGATCCCCTGGCACAACACTAAAACCCTGGCTGGCTTGGACCAATGGAGATGCCTCCAAGGGTTAATGCCTCTGAATGCCTCTTGCCGGAATTATGTAGCAGAAGAAAAAAAATATTACTGTAATAAGGAAATAAATTACCAAACGTTACAGTTTGGGATTTTTCCTCCTCGTGGCTTGTCATGTTTATCAAGTCTCGGCAAGGTTTGAAGTTCCCAGGATTAATCATTGATCTCTGCTGAACTCTCAGATAATCTCATTCAAGGTGTCATATACACCTAACCCCCACCCCCTCAAGATTATAGTATTAATATCAGATAGTGTTGTTTGCCTCTGATCACTGTGACGTGACCCCTGCTGGAGATGCTTATATGTAGATGGACTTGAGTGAAGCACAGGTTTGGGTTCTGCTGTAATGCCCTCCCATAGTGAATAGCTTGCCAGCAATCGCTGGTTATGGGCACACCTGAATATTAGACACTTGGGCATGGTACCAAAGGGCAGCTGGTGCCTGTTGAACCCTTTCCCAGTGCAAGTGAAAAGGAGTCAAATGCTTTGGGAAAAGAGGAATTGTTGAGGGACAAAAAAAAGTCTGATTTATTTTGGGGAAAATGTTTAATCTTTAAGTGAGAGATGTATCCGATACTTTTTACAGACTGTTATGACCACACATCTTTGGAAAACAATCAAAGGATCTTAAAGCTGTGTATTTTCTATGGTACAGTACTGTCGTTGTTTGTTTGCTTGTAAACAGTCCACCCACTTAGCAGTTTCCAGCCTAGCGGTTGAATGCAAGACTGCTGCAGTCTTTTTCT